ATTCTTTTGGCTGGGAATTTGTAAAAATGCAGCAATGCACCGGTGATGACACTGTAAGCAGGGTCTTACATATTGTGGCACTAACCCCACCAAACACAACAGTGGCCAAAAGTGATGTGAGGATTTTTATTTTTTATTTTTTTAATGACCCCACATTTCACTTAAACCATCAAAATACAAAGGAAAAAAAAAACACTGACCAGTGTTGCCAACTGCTTTCAATTGAAAGTAGCTAAAACTGGTCACTCAATGTTGCTAGATGACCTCATAAAGGTGAGTTCACTGATCTATATTTTGTTTTTGCATGTGTTCATAATTTCTTTGTATGACAGCATGGCCAAACATTATGACCTCACTATTTGGCATGTTTCATTGCATTATTATCACAAATAAAATAACTGACTCTAAGCAACTATGCAATATGCTTACAAAATCTTGCACTCTATATTTGTATTAGTCAAGTCAAGTCAAGTCACCTGTATTTATATAGTGCTTTTAACAATACAGATTGTGTCAAAGCAACTGTGCAGCATTAATTAGGGAAATTGTGTGACAATAATGCAAAATTGTTTTTTAATTAAGGGTGAAGATGTCCAATTTCTCAGGCCGGACATCACTTTTGGCCACTACTATGTGGCAGTTTATTGACTTTCCAACTGACCACCAAACCATATTGCAAAAACAAGCCACTTTTATGAGGATTGTGGGCTTTCCTGGAGTTGATGGAGCCATTGATGTTCACTCCAACTGTAAACGAGCAGACATACCAATAGAAAACAAAGCATCAGTAATAATTTGTGATAATTTTGCACAATGCAAGCATTTTTTTTTAAATACATTTAAATATTAAAATATTTCAGTGTCTTAATTAAATGATTTTTTTTTTGTAGTTACATTAAATGATTGGTGTTGTGCTGCTGTGACTTCACGTGAGCAGGCTCACTATTGGCTGATTCAGAGGTCGAGGGTTGACATCATTGTAGTCCTTAGTTCAACACTTAAGAATCAGTCTTAGACTTTACTGAAAGTTGCTTTTAGGAGTTCAGTGATGTTCTCATCCAGCTCAGTTCAGTTTAAATAGCATCTGTGCAATCAAGTCCACGATATCGCTGGATATTAAGTGCTGTCTAATGATTAATTGCGATTAATCACATCCCAAATAAGTTTTTGTTTACATAATATATGTGTGTATACTGTGTATATTACTAAGAATTTTTTGACACTTTAGTCAAAGCTTAAGACTATTCTTAAGAGCATGTCTGAGAAGTTTTATATACATGGGCCCAGTAAAACAGCTCTTTTCTCTGACTGTAGCGACCCTGCTCTAAATGAGATGCTTCTGTTTGTGTGTTCAGGGCTGCATGCCTGACGGCGTCCCGCCGGCTATGAGCTCTCTCTCTGGAGACGCAGGCCTGTACCGCGACGCTCCGCAGAAGCTGCAGGGTGAGGTTTCTGTGCCGGGGGGCTCTGGAAGTCAGAGTTCGGTGGATGCGATCTACAGAGCGGTGGTGGACGCCGCTGGCAGAGGTGTGCAGGTGACCATCAGCGCTGGCGTGAGCGGCAGCACACAGGCCAGCCCCGTCCCCGCGCTCAGCGCCATGAGTGCCTTCACCGCCTCCATCGGCCCGCCACTCAGCCTGCCTCACGCCGTCAGCGCCGTCATTCACACGCCACACGGATCCGAGGGCACGAGCCGCCCGCCGCACAACCGCAGGAGCTCAGAGCAGAACACTCCCGATGGTGCTGACGCCCACGAGTTCTTCCGCTCGCCGCGGCCGCACTGGGACGAGCCCAGCCACACGCACTGGAGAGGAGAGGAGTTTCTGGAGTGCTCCACACAGGTGCGCAGCAGCAAAGCCCTGATGGAGTGTCTGCCAGAGATGGCCTCCGACGCTCAGACAGACGACAGTGCTAGCCTGCGGTTTAGCCACCACTCCAGAGAGCGGCTGGAGCTCAACGGAGCGCTGCCTCGCGGAGGATACGGGGAGCCGCTCACCGGAGACGACCAGTCGCCCGGATCCTCCACCAGCTTGGAAGGGCCGCTGCTCAAAGACTACACTCACTTCAACGGGCACTTTAACGGACACTGTGCACCCAGCCCCTCGGACACCAGGAGCCTCAGCAGCGAGGAGGAGCTGCGGCACCCAGACTCTCCTTCAGCAGAGCTGCTGCACTACAGGCCCCGGGCCTTCAATGTGAGCGAGCTGGTCTGGCCGATCAAAGGCTTCCCGCCCTGGCCGAACAAACTGGTGGGAGAAGAGCATGGGCGCAATTCCAGCATGCAGCTGTCAGAACAGGCCAGGGTAAGAGACGCTGCCTTGTCCTGTCTATATGCCCTTGAAGGTGCCTAATGCAAAAGTCATTCTGTTATTATAAAGTGTGAAAATGTTACAGAAGCGTCATGTCATTTAGCCGTAGAGCAGCGGTGAACGCTGCAGTGAGATTTGTGTCGTGGTTCTGGTGGGGCGACTGATGATCTGTGAACTTGTCAGTGGTTGTTCGGATTATAAGGGCTTTGAGATCAAAGATTTAAGTAAAATCTTTAAACTGCAGTAGTAAATATTGCAGATAATATTTCTCTGGGTAACAGATCTGCTGTTTAAACTCTTGTTTTTTAGGTGGAACCGGAGCAGCTGAAAACACTAACACAAGACCTTCAGATGCTGGACAGAGCCAGCAAAAAAACCAGGAAGTAAGTTTCTCTGTAACACAGCGATCCTACAACACTCACACGCTGGAAAACATCTACAAGTGGAAAAAAGAGATGCTCAAACCAAAAATCAAAAATTCATCTCCATTGAAGAAAAGGTGCAACACTCACTCGAGAAGGAAAAAAAACTATTGAGAATGTTGAATGGTGTGTCTGAGTTTTTACATGCTGTTTAAAAGCAAGTAAAATAATAAGCCGATGCTACTATGATAAGAGACCAGCACATGACAGTCTTGTTCAGACACTACAGCTGATCTGAGATCTGCGTCCCGCCAGACTCATCTTTATAATGCTCTCAGATTTCCTAATTCTCCCTTCAGCAAACACAGAGAATGGGATCATAGTTTCATGGTATTTTATACACTTCAGTGCTCTGTATTTAATGCCTCAAAGTCACCTTTCACCCAATTTCTAGTGATAGGTTCACAGTTGTAAGTTCAATTCACGTTTATTTGCATAGTGCTTTTCACAATACATATTGTTTCAGAGCAGCTCTCCAGAAAATGAATGTTTCTTTGATATAAGGTTATTTGGCCAGGGAAACCTCTTTACTCAGTTCTTTAATGGATTTAAAAAAAAAAAAAGTTTAGTCAGGAATAATCTTACATTTATTAAGTACTGAAATTAAAAATCTTGTTTGTTATATTGATGTGAGTTGGTTCTCGTTTTTTTTCAATTCCTACAGTATCTTTTAATATACATTGATCCCTGAAAATAGCTATAGATGCTGTTATGGCAGTAAAATTAAACGAATAGAATTCGGCCAGGGACCAGGAAGTCTTGAGAAATCTCGTTAATCTCTGATCCCCAGTCGATGAAAAACTCCTCTAGCAACCAAATAATGTCAATAACAATAATACATAGACTAAGATAGTACAAGTCATTAATATCACATTCTTTCATGTTTCTTTTTGAGCGCTTGTGTTTTTGTTTGGCTCGACGTCTGTTGTTTTTAAAGGTGCGCATCTCGTGTCTCTCTCTCTCTCGCAGGGCGGGAAAACTGAATCATCATTTAGAAGCTGCGATTCATGAGGCCATGAGTGAGTTGGACAAGATGTCTGGAACTGTGAGTTTCTCACACACACACACACACACACACACACACACACATCATGGAGCTTGTTCTGATTGGATGAAGGGATGATACAGTGAAGCTGTTGTCTGTCGATCTGCAGGTTCATCAGGATCGTCAAGTCAAGCTGCCCAAACCCAAGAGGAGGAAGATCTCCAGATAACAGCAGCGTCAGTGTCTCTCTCTCTCTCTCTTTGATCGTGGTGCTACACTCTAGCAGACGACTCATCGTGGCTCCGCCCTCATCCAGTGACTGACAGGTGCTGGATCAGCCAATTAGAAAAGGCAGCAAAAACAACTTGCTGAAGAACTATTTTTTTCTAGTGTACAAGGAAAAATATCAAAAATGCAAAAAAACAAAAAAGAAAATTACTGCATTTAAGAACACAGACAGTCCAAATATTTCTGATATGTTTTCGATGTGTATATAGACAATACAGAAATGTCATGGTAAAAACATGGGAAGAAGTGTAAATACTGTAGGATAATGACATGTACAAGCCAACTCAATGCACACTTTATCTTCAGCTGTACAAAACAGAAATGTCTCATCGGCCCATAAGGCCCTGCGACATTACAATGAATAAGAGTCAATCTGAGACTTTTCTAAGCTTCAGTTTGAGTTGTATTTTGAGTGTGTGTGTGTGTGTGTGTGTCGGAGTGGACTTCACCAGCTCAATGGGTTAGATGCGGGTTTGACTCGAGCTCGTGGGCTTCTATATATATATATATATATATATACTTCCAGCACTAAACACTAATACATGAATATGTTTATAATTGTCCCGTGTCATTTTGCTGTGTTTTTTTTGTCTTTATATGGTTATGTTGGTCTTTCCTTTGTGGATTTGTTGTATTTGTATATATTTAGGTCTTCCAGCACTAAACACTAATACATGAACATGTTTATAATTGTCCCGTGTCATTTTGCTGAGTTTTCTGTCTTTATATGGTTAAGTTGGTCTCTCCTTTGTGGTATTTGTTTGAGTTGGACAGCACTGGTTTGTGAGGTTTTATTGGAGTCGTTCTTACTGTAATTGCCAACGAAGAGGAAAACTAGGGGCCTTATAATGTGTTATAAGTGATGCATGGACTCCCTGTTTATTTGACCTGTTCAGTTAAACTTTGCAATAATACGGCCCTGCGCACAAAGCCTTATACTTGTGTACACACACACTTCAGTATTATTCTGTTAACAGTGTTTCTTTGCCTTTCATGATGCACTCAGTATTTTCTCTTTTAAAGTTTCACTCATCAAGAAATTAACAGTACTTTTGGAAAATCTTCATTTCGATGTCCACTTGATAGAAACCTCCAGTCATATCAGTAATGAAATAAAATTAGATTGACTCTAGATGAAGAGGCTCAGGGGCCTCATGAGATCACATGACCAGCCGAACACCAATCACTTTATCTCAGTAACGTGGAAAAGGGAAAACGCTGTCAGTAGCTGCAGACTTTAGCTTCCACATGTCAGGAGTCAGAATCAGTCGAGAACGGGAACATATCAGCCAGCCGACGTCAGAAACCACTGAGCGGCCCAATCTGGGTGTAATATGGTGATGTTGTCTTCGTGTGCTGCATTAAGGAAAGACACCGATGAGCTGTAGATGTGTTGAATCTCATACAGACTCAGGAATGTCCTGCTATCATTCAGATTCATGTTCTAAAGGGGTTCATGGGAAATGTCACTTCTGAGTGACAAACTGAGAGGAGTTTGTTTTTGTCTTGGTGTCTGTTATACTTTCATGAATATACGATCAGAAGGGTTAGAGAAGTGACTTTAGGGATCATAGACTGGGAAATGGAACAGGTCAGAGGTCAGTGTCGGTTGCACAGAATCACTGGAGAACACGGTGTGACATGGACATCTGCCAGCAACACTAACTCAATATGAAGAGCTGATTGAATTATTTTTGTGTGTAAACTCTATAGGTATGTGTGGGATTCGCAGCACATTGCTGTGTGAAACACTCTCATCAGCTGGCATCCGTTTTAAACTCTAAAGCAGGGCAGATTAAATAGCAGATATTGGCTGTTTTCTCTCCTTGTCGTCAATCTTTACAGAAATCTCACTACGAAATTAAGTGCAATATTTCCATTCCGTGGAACTGGGAACTATATCGGCGCAGATATCGTTGTAATGTGTTTCAGAGGAGAAATGGTTCAAGCCCGTGAACAGACTCGGTCGGCTCGTGCGTCTCTGCTGGTGAAGTCGGCTCTGTTGTCAGTGCAATGCTGCGAAAGTCTTACTGTTCAAGGTCAAAAACATTTTGTGTTCATGTGTTCATGTGTCAGTGTTGCCCAAAACATTTTCCATTTCAATTCTTCAGTCCTTTTCTTTCATTTCCTCTGTGTGTGTGTGTGTGTGTGTGTGGACATTTTTATTTTATTCTCTTTGCTTGCTGTTTTTTTATTGGTATCTGACTGGTATTACAAACATTTCTGATGTCAGTATTTTTTTTCAATACGTATCTGAGTATATATTTTCTCACCAGTATGTACTTTACAGCAGTCGACTTTGTAAAGTATGTTGTGCACTTGATTATGTTTGTTTCTGATAGCTTTGATGTGGCTGTTAGGTTTAGATTGTTAAAGTCCATAATTTCTTATTGTTTCATTTTATTTTTTAAGATGTCCTAAACAGCAGTTTTGTAAATATTGTGAACATTACAGGTCATGCTGTGATGTGACATTGAAATGATGTTGCACCAATGTTTCAATTAAAACCTGGTCACTAAATCTTGGTCATTAAACTGGCGTTTTTACTGTAGCTTTATATGATGGATCATCAGAAATTATTGAAAGTATATTTTAGTTTTTTTCAAATTCATGTTTTAATACTATTTTCAAATTCACCATTTTATTCAGTTAGTTTCAGCAATGGTTGATTACATTTTGTGTTTTATTTCTTGGACAAAATTATTCATCAATGTTAAACTCTTAGTTTTTGAAATGAGAGAATATTACAGTTTTTCTGTTTATATACAGTCCTTTGAATTTAAGGCTGCCGTCATACAAAGCTGTGCGCTTTATCACTGCTAAGCAGAGGCGACCAATAAAATGAGTCACTGGAAGCAGGTAAATCAGGTCCAGCACTAACTAATAACAGTGTGATGGATACATTTTTTTTTTTTTTTAAATCTTAAATTGTAGTCTCATCTGAGTATTCACTGTCTATCAATAGATAGCTAACAAAGGGCACTGCTAGAAATTTTGGGCCACTTGTTAATGTTTCCTTGTGATCGTTGATGATCACATGATGAAGCACCTAATTTTACACAAGATTTCACGTGTATAACATCTTCACAAAAGTTTATGGTCTTGACGTTTCTCCTATAATTACTGCATACTGCAATCTGTCTTTGGATGTTGGAAAAAGGTAGACTAAGATCAACCGAAATTCATGTTTCAGAATCCAGAAAAAAAAAAAAAAAAACTTGTCTAGCTGAGATTCTGTAGGCATTTGCACTTGATCACAAACACGTTCATGAGCCATTCATAAGAGAAATACTGAAGCAGAAACTGCTGCTTTGTCCAGGTGTGGTAAGATTCTGCCTTAACATCACAAATCTAGCATATTTTTTACTTTAAAATAAAAAAAAATAATCTCTACTTGCAACACTATATTTTGTTAAAACTACCCTAGCATATATTTTTTTTAAGCTGCAGTGATTGAGTGTGACTGTAAAATTAACGTTTCCGCTTAGCCTGCTGTAATCCAGCGGTTTATATTTTTTCTTCTCTTGGAAAGACACTAGGGTTGTGTGAAAAGGGTCCATATGCTGCAGACAGATGGAACAAAACAATAGACCTCAGTCCTGTTGATATGTGGTGTGATTTGAATGATTCATTGATGGACATCATGTAGTGGATTTGACCAAAATGCTGTACCAGTCTGCACTGCGCATTGCTACCTGATCAGTAGAGAAAACGTTTTAAATGTGGCTCTACTAGTTACCAAGTTCACATCGGTTTTACGTTAAAAATTCAAAGATTGATCACTTGGTTGTAAAAGAACTAACGATATCAAAAGTGCTACGGTGTTAAATTTAATGACTGCGCCACACAAAGCAAGAGCAGAAGCAAGAAGTGCAGAACAGTACATACACGTCCAAAAAAAAAAAAGAATGCTAAATTGCTTTGCCTGATTAATGTATGTGGTGATACATGTATGAATAGTCTGAATGATGTGGGACCAGGCATTCATTTCAATTCACATGTATTTGAATAGTGCTTTTTACAACACAAATTGTTTCAAAGCTGCTTTACAGTTTAACAGATTACAGATTACAATCAAGAAGCCAGGGGGAAAAAATCCTTGATGAGGTATTGGTGAAAAACCTTGTGGCTCCTGCAGTGTGTCTGAGGCCCAAACATCATCAGGAGGGCTATTCCAGAGTCTAGGAGCCAAATTAGAGAACGCTTTACCTCCTTTAGTGGACTTTGATCTCCTCGGTACTATCAATTGTCCAGAATTGTGTGACCTTATAGAGTGTGATGGGTTGTAGTGCAGTAGAAAATCAGTTATATACAAAGAAGCCAGACCATTTAGGGCCTTGTATGTATAAGTATTATTTATTTAGAAATATTATTTTATATCAATACAGAACTTAAAGGGATAGTTCACCCAAAAATGAAAATTCTGTCATCATTATCTGAAGTAGACATGATGTTGTTCGTCCTTCGCTGGTGAAGATGACCACGACCTCTTCGAATCACTGAACTTTGTGGGTGCGAAGATGGCTAATGAGTCCAATCCTTGTTCTGAAAGTTCGATTGCAGAATGGACAGGCGAATGCTGGAGCCGAGTTTGCCAGAGATGCGGTGCCGAGTCTGCTCTTGCGATGCTGGCGCTTCTGCTGCTGTTCTTCTATGCGACTTATCTCGTACCCCGACACCCCAGATCTGACCAAGGTGTGCCAGGCAGAGCACTCTTGTGCAAGATCTTGCTAAGGAGTCGGGGCTGATGTTGCAGCATTTCAAGGATGCCTTCAAGCAATCTTTGTAGCGCTTTCTTTGTCCCCCTTGGGAGCGCTTGCCCTCCTTCAGCTCTCCATAAAGGAGATGTTTTGGTAGGCGTTCGTCAGACATGCGACAGAGATGACCTGCCCATCTGAGCTGGGAGTGCTTGAGCATGGCGAAGACGCTCTCCATCTCTTCTCTCTGGATTATCTCTGTGTCAAGAATTTTATCCTGCCGTTTGATATGCATAATGTTTCTGAGGCAGCCCATGTGAAAAGAATTGAGCTGCTTGGCATTCCGACTGTACACTGTCCAGGTTTCACTGGCTTACAGTTAGGGAGGGCAGGACAACTGCGCGATATACTTTGAGCTTGGTCTTCACGCTAATACCTCTTCTTTCCCATACTCTGTCATAAAGCCTGCCGAAAGCAGACCTTGGCCTGGATATCTGATAATTGACTTCCTCATCAATGCTGACATGACGGGACAGTGTACTGCCAAGGTAGACAAATTTGTTCTCGCCAAGTTCCTCGCCGTAGACTATGATGGTTGGTTCAGTGTATGGTGCTGCAGGGGCTTGCTGAAAAAGCACTTTGGTCTTCTTTGTGCTTATTGTAAGTCCAAAGTCATCACAGGCTTTGTAGAATTGATCCATGCTCCTCTGCATGTCCAACTGAGTGCTGGCATTTAATGCACAGTCGTCAGCGAAGAGAAAGTCCTGGGCGGTGGCTTCCTGGACTTTTGTTTTGGCCCACAGTCTCCGCAAGTTA